GGGGGGGGGGGGGGGGGGGGGGGGGGGGGGGGGGAGGGGTTGCGAACCCGGGCGCTCGGGGCCACTCTTCCGTAGGGGTTAATGTCGGGGCGGGGGCGGGCGGTCGCAGTGATGCGGCGACTGGCAAGGGTAACGCCTCGCCTCAACAGCAGCAGCAGCAGCAGCAGCAGCAGCAGCAGGCGGGGGCTCCCGGTAGACGCGGAACAGGAGTGGATGTCGCTAGGCATGAGGGGCAGCCGCAGCAGCAGCCGCAGCAGCACCACCAGCAGTTCAACAGCAATCAGGCGGGACGGGTGCCGTATGGGAACAGGACTGGAGTTGCAAACGGCGGCGCGGCGGGGACGGGGGCGGGGAGCGGGGCTGGTAAGATGGCCGGTGCAGGCGGAGCAAGGGCTGGAGCATTCCCTGCGGGGGGTGGACGCGGCCACATGGGTCCCACACCGAGTCCAAGATTTTCGCCTCACGGTCAGAGAGATTCAGGAGTGAAAAGAACCTGCCTGCGTGCTTGCCGTAGAGCGTGCGTGACCTGCGGCAGTGAAACTCGCCACGTCGTCTCGATGCTAGGGTTTCGCAGGCGTGATCTCGTGTCGAGTGCATAGTGGCTGGCTTGGTTCCGAGCGCAGAGAGATGTGGGAGAACACACATGGTTGAACGGAGAGCCCAATGAGTTGCAGGCTTGTTTGTCGTGCTTGAGTTGCGCATGCATGTAAGCGCAGCCACCCTCCCCCCCTCCGTCGATGCCACGCAGGTCCGCGCCCTTCTGCACCACCGGGAACGCCGCTAGGGATGCCGATGAACGTGCCGCCGTCTCACCTGGTCGGCCACATGCTGCACCGGGGACCGCAGCCCATGCCCTTTCCCAGGGGTTACCGGCAAGGGCCGCCAGGAGGACCGAACCATAACAACAACAACAACCCTCTCCAGCAGCCTCCACGTGGCGGTGGTCCGCCGCCGCCACCCCCGCCACAGCAGTCGCCCCGCGGGTACGGCGCTTCGCCCAAGATGGGGCCATCGCAGCAGGTGAAGAGGGCGTGCCGGCGGGGTGGCTTACCTCTCTGTCGTCGTGTGCCGTGTTTTGTTTTGAAGACTTGAGCGCCAACACCAGCTGACCAGCACAACTGCCACCGGTTTGTCTTGGGAGATACGTTTTCGAAAGCAACACCGGCCGTGCAAGGGGTCAGTGGTGGGGTCTAAGCTTGGCCCGTCTGCTGTGTGTAACCTCAAGCGACCGGCCGGGTGGTGCCTATCGCATAGGGTCGGAGTTTGGCTTGTACCAGCCGTCAAAGTTGTTGCCGGTGCTTGCGTGGACATTTGTGGTGCGGCTTATACGCTTCCGAAATTTGGGTGTTTGATTCGTTTGCGTTCGCCCTTGCTCAATTCGTGTGGGCGAGTTAGTCCCTTCCCTGGGGGGGTTGTGACCACATCGTACATGGTGTTCCCCTTCGGAGGACATCTGCCTCTTTGCCTTGTGCGATGCCGCTGGCTATACGGCAGTGCTCCGTGACGTTCATGTCCCAGGGACGTGAGACGTAGCCGTTATGGCGAGGGGTATGGTCACGGCCCGTGCCACCTTGCTGAAACACCCGCCGCCGCAGCTGTACCAGGCCTCAAACAATCAGCGCTCAAGTCTCCTTCGCTCGCTCGCCCGCCCGCCCCACACGTGTGCGTTGGCGAAAACAGCCCCAAGGTCCTGGTCAGCAAGCAGAGTGGGCGGCCGCACGCCAACGTGCCGCCGCTATCGCCAGCGGCTGGAGCAATAACGCGCCGAGTGTACCCGCGGCCGCTGGCGGCGGCCCGGGGCCAGTCCCAGGGTTGCGTCAACATCCTCGACAGCACCAGCAGCACCAGCAGCGCCAGCAACATCCCGGGGGCACCCTGGACCCGCCAGCGGGAGCCCCGGCTCCGTGGGGAGATCCGTGGAGTGCCGCTAACGGCGGGGGCGGCCCTCGTCCGAACGCACAGGAAGGTAGGAATAGCCCGGCGCTACCTCGCGGCGGGCTTGCACAGCAGCAGCAGCAGCAGCAGCAGAGGCGGCGGCAGCAGCAGCAGCAGCAGCAGCAGCAGCAGCAGCAGCAGCAGCAGCAACAGCAACAGCGACAGAGACAAGAAACAACTACAGCGTCCACGTCTTCTTCCCCGCAGGCGGCCCCTGCACCAGCACCGGCGGCAGCCTCGGCTTCGCCAGCACCGGGACCACCGGCACCAGCGCCGGCACCGGCAGCGGTATCTCAGCATGCGGCGCCCCCCCGGACGCCTTCCTTAACCCCCTCCTCTCCGGGCTCGCCGGGAGACGCGGACGACATCTCTCTCGCGGTGCAAAACGGCGAGCTATCCGCGGCCGCGCAAGAGTTCGTGCCGAACATCTCCCCGGCCAAGCCCGCCACAAGCACCGGCGGCGGTACCCCGGTAAGCCGTCCGGGCGCCGCCGCCGCGCGGTCGGCGGGGGTGGAAACGCCGACGGCGGTGGCAAGGGCGGCACAAACGCCTCCGCGACCTCCAGCGGCGGCATCGGCCAGCAGCCCCGGGTCGAGACCCTCCCCGGGCAAGGGCGGCGGGGTAGGAGCTGGTCTGGGTCTTCCGCTTGCCGATGTTGCGTTCGGGTCGTCGTGGGGAAGCATGGGCGGCGGCGGGGGCGGGGGCGTAAAAAACGCATCCTCTGACGCGGCCGATGATGGCGGTGGCGGCGGCGGCGGTAGTAACCTTTGGGGGTCGCTCGGGATTGATGTTGGAGGGGCTGGTGTACCTCCTAGCGGCCAGGCTATCTGGGGAAGCAGCTCATTGTTGGATTCCGTGGGCGGCGACGGCGGCGGCGGCGGTGGCGGCGTTGGCGGCGGTGGCGCCATCGCGGGGGACGGGTTGTCCCTTCTTTTGGGGCCGTCGAACGTGTCCACGGTCCAGGCGCCGGCCGATGCCACCTCGTTACCGCCCTTCTCGTCGTCTTGTCCGTTGGATCTGGCTTCGTGGGGTGTTGGCCGGCGGGGAGGTGCCGGGGCCTTGGCGGGTGATGAGTTCGTGGGCGGGTTGGCTTCTTCGCTTTCTGGGCTGTCGATGGATGACTCCGCTAGCGGGGTGCTTGGAGGAAAGGCCGGGGAGCAACCGCAGCAGCAGCAGCAGCAGCAACAACAGCAACAGCGGGGGGGAGTGTTTGGTTCCGCGAGCAGTCTCAGCAGCTGGGGTTGAAACGTTCTTTCGATATTTTTTTGAAAGAGTGTTCTTGCGTCGATCGTCGAAGGGTGGAAGAAGAAGTTTACGCTGTTGTGAACGTGAACGGAATGTTGCATGTGTGAGTCGGTCGCCACACACCTCAGTTGGCGACGATCGGGGTCAGTTGGTCGTCGATAGATTGTGCTGACCTCCACTGCTCTGGCCTTTCACGTCAGATGCGTCGTGTCCGGTTCTTCGCCGTTGCCGCCTGTGTGTGACTTGAGTTTTCTCACTGTGCGCTGCGCAAAGTAAACCTTACCGCGTTTTTTGTCGTTTTCGTTGTCTGGCCTGGAAAAAGGTCGTGGAGCTGACGGTTGATGTTGTTGTTGTTGTTGTTGTTGCTGTTGCTGTTATTGTGGTGGTTGTCTTGACATTAATAAACCGTTCCGGTCTCTGCCCATTACCTTCTAACGTTCGTTTCGGTGGCGCTTCGTTTTACGGGAGAAACCGCCAATTCTCGCGCGTGGTCAGTTGCGATGTGTGGTTGGGCTGCTGGTGATTTGTGGTGATGCCCCACAATTTGTGCGTCAACAGTCAAACTACACACACTTCGACAGGTATCTACTGGACTGGTAGGAGCGATCATGCGGACACATTCGAAGTGAAGGACGAACCGATCCTTAGAAACAACCGTGGGCACGCAAGGCACCACAGGTGGATAGATAGGCGGCCCGTTCACCTACCACCTGCTGGCATGCACTGGCGGCCACTTTGTGGCATCATTTGCTCACTGTCTTTCTAGACGCGCGCTCCTTCCCCGAAACAAGGATCCTGCCTGCCCTCCTAGCGGGCTCTGGCTACGAAGGCCGTGCAATCTTTCCGTCACATTGCCTGTAGTATGCATATGTACGGCAGGACTCGAAGCCGTGTCGTTTGCGTCACCGACGAGAAGCAGGCGTCGTCGACGAAGAGATTTGCCGCCAAAACAAACAGATCGTGCAACAACGGTGGATGGGCTTTGCTTGCGGCGCCATATGAGAGGGAGGGGGTGATGATGTGGATGACGGGCAACTGTGGATTCATGCGGACATGTTGGAAGTTTGGGAAGATCCCATCCTTACAAGAGTGCCAACCAACCACGGGAGCCCGGGAGACCGCACCTGCCATTTTATGGATACATCCACGTATGTGTGTCCCACATTACATTTATGGCATTAGGGGACGGATCATTTTTTTATCGCAGGCAGTGGCACCGCACAAGTATCAGCGGATGAAACCTACATCCTGCCTGTCCTCTGCAGCACGCTAAAGCTACACCTCGACCGTGAGATCCTCCTGCCACGTCACCTACGGAAGAAACCTTATACCACGAACGTTCAATATTATCTTGTCCGGTCGTGTTCGTTGTAAACACCGAGGGAGGGTTTTCGTAACAATGATGGCTGATTGATAGAGAGAACCCCTGAGCGCAAGATTCAGAGTTTTCCCTTCGTACACCAGTAGGTTGTGCTAAGTTTCCCTCTGCATCGCCCACAGACAAGGCGCACCTATAGTTGGCAATTATGCTTGCTCGAAGTTGTATCAGTGTTTGTTGTGTACAGTTGGCGCCATCTGTAAGGAAATATTTTGTTGAAAGAAATTGAGGCTCACTTTTTCACGAAAAATAAGAAAATAGGGTTCAGAAACATAGACTATGCATAGCTCAATCGGGGTCACACAATAAGAAAATTTCTCAATAAGGAAGGGAGCGGGAGGCGCAAAAGGGTGACAACCCCCAATGTTCGCCTCACGGAGCTTGCAACATAATGACGGGGTAGTTCTCGTTGTTGGCACGTCAGCGTGCGGGTGAGGCATCATGCGGTGTTCCTGCATTTGTTTAGTTTCAGCCCTCACTCATGAGGGGGGTACAGGACCTTGTAGCGATAGCGAGACGTTGCCGCTGGATACATTTCGCTTCTAGGGAGTGGCCTTACGTGCAGCCGTCGGTAGTGAGAATCGGGGTTGAGTACGGGGTCGAGGAAAGCAGTTCAAATCATTTGCATATTTAGAACGTTGTGTTAAGGAGGACCCGATTCGCAGGGTATTCGTCGATTGACTTTTACCTGAATCGGTACACCTTCGCATGTACATGGCGTCAGCGACAGGATACTGGTTCGAATCTCCGTGGGTGCATACTTTTTCTCCTGACTTAGATATTTTCCCAAGGACACAACAATGTGTGTCAGTCCTGAGAGCACCTCTTGGAGTCGATCCTACAAAGAACCTTGTGACACTTCCATCGAATTACCCATCCTGGCCACAAGAGGTTCCCAGTTGAGGGTAAGTTCTGTGGGCGGAGAGTGTTAAGGAGGACCCGATTCGCGATTGACTTTTACCTGAATCGGTACACCTTCCCATACGGCGTCAGCGGCAGGAAGGACTTTTTACCTGAATCGGTACACCTTGGCATACGGCGTCGTCAGCGGCAGCACGCCGTATGCGAAGGTGTACCGATTCAGGTAAAAGTCAATCGACGGATACCCTGCGAATCGGGTCCTCCTTAACAGTTGTGTATGCAAGCCGAGAAGTAAGAAATTGCCGATATAGAAATTTAGCAGGATTTATTTGGCTGCACGAAAAAAAAAAAAACTTGAAATAAGAAACTGAACGACATGCGCTGAGATCATAGCCCTCACAACAAGAATTCGAGGCTGGACCTGAAATAAGCGTTTCTTAACTGCGGGCGCCAACAGTAGTCTAGTCTAGAAGACTAGATCTCGGCACAAAACATTTCGAAACCTTTTTCCCTCGAAACGGTTGATGGGTGGTCATGAAAGTCGGTCGAAGAAGTCTTGACATAGTCTACTCGCGAAATCTCTGCTTTCATCAGCGGGAGAAATCCAACACGCGCAGGCATACGTAGCTATTGGTGCAGCTGTAGTATTCCCTTCGTGGCGTTGTGGGCGGGCCTCGGGTCTCTTCGAGGCACACCGCAAGTCTCCAGAGCACTCGAAGATCGAGATAGATGTAGACTGACTATTGTCAGTCTAGGTCGGCAGATCAGCTCTCTTCCTTCAGACAAAATCGCGATTCGAGCTTCAGGACCAACTCGAAAGACACACACTATGCATTTCAGCCTATCCATGAACATACATGGCGTCAGTCAAGATCGTGTGGTCCAAAATTCACGAACGCACCTCATGTGCATACGAATGACGAAGTTTGAAACGGAACAGATACGGCAAGATATGATGCTGCGGATGTATGCATACGGCAACAGCAGTAGTAGTAGTTGGTCATCCCCTGTCACCCGGAAATTCCCAGGAGGGATTCGCTTTCTCGAAACGGAATGTGATGGCCTCCTCTCTCTCCTTGTTGCACGAATACATCCTTCCACCCAGCAGGTCACCATCATTGAATCAGAAAGGAGAAAGAGTTTAGGCTATACACAAGGAAGGCCCCAAGCTTGTGGCTGGTGGCAGAGTTTTGCTGCAAGGAGGGTTGTGGGCTTGCCCTCTGCCTTGCACAGCAGTCAGCAGCGCAGCAGTACACAGCCGTAGTCATCGGTTCTGGAGCAGCGTCTGCTTGCAGCAGTATGTCTTCTGCTGTTAAGGTCATCGTCTTGCCCGGGACAGAGTCGGGACCTGTGTTCTACGAGATCAGCCACGAGCGCGATGGGAGGTGAGAGAGACCGAGGTGCCCGGATTTGGTCAACAGCAGCAGCAGCAGTTATGTGTAGCATTGAGGAATTCCGCGCCGAAAACAGTTAAGCGACTGGATTTCGGAAGTATTTTCTTGTGTGTGTTCTCTCGGCAGACCTCGTGAGGCACGCCTGCCACCACACCCAGATGTGGGAGCAACCTTCTGCCCATGTGGTTCAATGTTTTCGTGGGTTGCGTGCAGCTCGCTGCCCGTCGTGGAACCGGTATGCGCATTGATGCGAAAGGTGGAAACATATCTTTTGCTCTCTCTCTTTCGCCGCCGCCCGTACCGCCTCTTCAAGAACTTGATGCGTTTTGGGACCAGTTGCAGGTGTAGACGGAAGATCGAGCTCACCCTTTTTGCGAAACGAGCGATGACTTGATGGGTGGTGTTCTGCGTACGTGTTCGAGACAATCAGAGACAAAATGTCCCTCTCCCAATACATCTAACTGGAAGTTCAACGGGGAAGCGGGCAAGCCTTCAAGAACTGTGACTATTAGTACGAGTAGACTTCACCGTGTAGACTACTTGTATTATTATAGTACAATTCTATTCTGCGTGTGTATTTTCACATTTCCGAATAAATACACCCACAGCAGCTCCTCTTGTAAAAGGATTCGGCATTTTCTGCCACAACGCAACGAAACACACAGGCAACACGTCAAATCTCTGGCTCTCTGTTCCGCTGGTGCGCAGCAAAACCACCCGCGGCTCGCCGGCGCGTGGGTCAGTGATGGGCAGGACGCACTCCGGGAGATGTCTGTTCGAGGGAAAACAGTGAATATGTCGCGAACTTTGCGCAGAGAGATGGAGAGACCGAGAAAGACAGACAACGACAGCAGTAGAGACAGAGAGAATGGCGAAAGAGAGAACAGGACCGTTGCCGACATATCTGGTAGTGCGCCAATTGTTGTTTGTGTGCGACTGGGTTCCCAAGACAGACATAATTCAAGTGTCCGTCCCGCCGAGCAAGCCCTGTTCGATCTTTTGTACACTTGAAAGCAGCGATTGATTGATTCGCGTCCGCTCAGCTTCACGGCCGACGAGGGAAAAGACGGCTGTGAGTCTTGTCGCTGAAAACATTCAGAGCCGCAGAGGAAGGGCACGAAGGACACGTGGAGAAAAAAGGCTGCAGTGTGACTTTACGTTCATATTTCGCCACGTTCCTTTCTCGTGTTTCATCCACCCATTCCTCCAGAAGAAATATCGCCGAAACAACTGACGCCCCGAATGCAGACTGCAGAGTTCACGTAGATATTGTCTAGGACATGGCTACACTTGTGCGCCTTCATCACCATGACAGGAAGTCATCCAAGGGTTCTGCGACTGAACACCTTACACATTGCATAAAATAATCACACTACACCTGGTATGGCAACCGTTCGGAAGGGGCGCATCAACCTCCGTTGTTACGAGGCATATTGGGGGTACAGCAGTATCGTTGGTCAGCGATCAGCGGAAAAGAAAGGAGAAAGCACACCAACAAGTTCGTGCGCCTGTCAAATAATAAAGCGGTGGTATGCATACAAAAGAGTGTTTCGAGGCTGACAGTTGACCACCCTATCTGATAGGTGGTGTATGCATACCAAACTTCATCCTCTGCCGTTTCAGATGTCACGAGGCGGGGGGGGTGTATGACCCATTGCAGCGATGTACATGCGTGCATTTTCCATGCTACAAAATTTTACCCCGAGCCTGAGCATTTCATGCATTGCGGGAGTTCGCTGGAATTTTGGGACTCTCCTCCGTCGGCCACTTGTTCTTGTAGTCGGAAATGGCCTCTTGCTTGCATTCCCATCAAAGGTAATGAAACAGCTAAGTAGACGCTCATATGCATACTTCTCTCGCCTTTGTAGCCGAGTACAGTTCGTGCGTAGACCGGTTTCTCGGGGCTGGGTATCAGCGCGGAATCATGTATTCATCTGGTCCTCATTCCAGGTGATTTCCTTCTCTTCTCCGGCGATTTACGAGTGTTCATTTGCTGGAGACCCACAGGTCGGCGTAAATGGTCAAAGCTTCTATTCCAGAGAAAGAAGCGATTGACACGCGAACGGCGTCAATGGGTTTATCACAGAACAGTCACAGACGAGACATACATGTGATAGACATAATAACGAGTGATAACGTCCACTTTTTGAACGAGCTTTCATTATCTTTTTCCGCATGGGGGGTGTTAAGTACAGCACACATCGGGTGGTTGACAACTTTCGTGAAAACGTGCCATGAAGAGAAGTGTTGGAGATTGCCCCTCTTTCGTTAATGCGGCATGACCGCCGCCTTTTCGGCACCTCTGGAGGGCAAACGGGAAAGTGTCCCGACACTTCGATTCCAGTTTATGTCCCCCATACCCCTAGCGCCGCGACCAGTATGAACATGGTGTTCGTATCCGGACAGCCACAGCCCATGATTGTATTTTGTGCAGATTCTGCGCAAAGCCGCCATAACAAAGGCGGCGCACCCAAACGCATTAGGTAGACTTCATCTCGTGCGATAAACTGTCTCGGGCACCAGTAGTTGTGGGAAAATGGAGGGACGGACTTGCACCGAGGTCCGAATGGTTTTTACTACCCAGGCGAACAACAGCAGTGACACACGTGATATGCATCCTACCTCACGCAAACGTTTGTTTTTATTGCGCTTGCAACACCAGAGTACATGTAGTAGGCTGCTGATCTAGCGTGGAGATACGGATTAACACCTCCTCCCCCCAAAAAGAACACCCTTAGCAGGATGCAGCGCACCCTTCATGCGACTCGCCGAATATCTCACGGCGCTTCGCGCTTGGTGATGTGAGAGCCTGGTCCGGTGAGAACCCGGCGTGCTCCGTCCCGGCTTTGTAGGGATGCCAGGTCAATGGTCTTACGACTACGGCATGCACTACTATGAAAACGCCCCCCCCCCAAAGAAAAGTGGCGTGAACAAAAGACATTGTAAGCAGCGGTTACGGCAGCGAATTCTGGCCAACGGTAGGTTGAAAGCGCGCATTGGTATCGGAAAGCGCGGGGGGGCTGCTCAGTACCATACGCCGGTGGGCGGTGGCATATACATCAACCGGAAGGCGATATTGTGAGAGCCTCGCATGTCTGCAAATCCGTAGACGTGCACGGGCGTCAGACAGGCAGACGGCAAACTAGATGACGCAGACAGCCGACCGGTACAAGCAGCATTTGATGGAGATACAAGCCGGGGAGTGTCTGTCGTTGCCGTGCTGCCGTTGAATGGCCACTCTCTCCTTGCCGCTATTTTTCGGTCACGCGTGTGTTGTTACAGCTGCTTAATTTTTTTTTCCATGGGACCACTCTCAATGCGCACCAAACATGGGCACCACGTGATTTTTCGTGAGTGGGAGACGCATTGGCGGAAATCTGATCTCGCCCAGGTGGTGATGAGAAGATTGACGATGCTCAAAAGAGATTTGCTCGTCGACGTGTCACAGCTAGCAGTGAGGAGCGATGCGCAGGTCTTGTTGCGTGTGACCTGGCCGTCAGTACCTACTCACCTATCCCACTGACCTTCTCCTTTCTTGGGCTGACGTTCTTCTCCCGATAGTAACTGACAGCTGTTGTGTTTTGAAAGGGCATTCTTGTTGACGCGAGAACCCAACTTTCATGTTTTTCGTGATGTTTCGTTGATTGTGTACGGTGTCACCCACCGACTAAAACCAGAGGCTGGATTGTTCAGTCAGGCTTGTTGCCAGCATGATGCAGGGCGAAGTGACGAGTGGGGGGAATCGGGTTGGTCATCGCGCACCCTACCCCGCTCGTCGATTTGTTTGCGTCGCTCGTGTTGCTTGTCATGTATAAACACTCGGATTCAAATTTCTCCCCACGTCATTGCAAAATGGCTGTGATGAATAAAACTACCGCGTCTGTCTTAGCGTGCTTCTCTGTGCGTTCCGACGGACGGCGACAGGCTATGGACGGTGAAACAGCGGTTCAGCACCCTGGACGCCATGAGGCATGGCCTATGGAAGAAGAGGCTGCCGCTGCCGGACGTTGCTTTCCCCCGCAAGCAGGCACCGCTGTTGATGTTCGTACATAAGGTGCAGTGCGGTAGAACCGTAGAACCGTTGGTTTTTGTCAAGTTCTCCGCCCGTCAAGCCCCCTCCCCCCCCCTCGATTCCCCCAGTTTCCAGTGTCTCATCGACGGTTTCAGTTTTTCCGATGTTCTGTCCGAAGTCCACCCGTACAGTACAGTACGGCGCCACCTTTCCGAATCAGCCTTTCAAGCCAACTAGCCACCTGCGAAATCCCCGAGCACCGACCCATACACTCGGTACTGGAAGTGCTGTGAATGTCCGATAATCAGCACGGCGTGCACGATGAAAGCTTGTTTTTGTTTTTTTCGAGGGGAAAGACCTGTGTACACAGTATGGTGAAAATGAAACCCCCGTTGCAAACGCGCCGCGTAAAACAACAGTGGCACGCCCCCGGGACGCCGGCAATGCCCGCCGAGGAGATGGAAGAGAGGAGGGAGGGACTGCAGGCGTACCTGTCGGAGCTGTCGGGGCTCAAGGACTCCTGGCGGTCCGACGTCGTTACCGAGGTGCTCTGCTTGGCGGAGGACGACGCCACCTCCCCTTCTGCATCTCCCGCCGCCGACCAGGTGCAAGAAGAGTCGTTCGCAAGAAGCTGTCAGGTTTTTTACCCTTTGTTCTTCGTCTGCTGATGGACCGTTGTGGTTGATTGTTTTTTCGGGGTGGTGGCGATGCTGCGGCGTCCCTCTGGTCGAATGTTGTAGTTGTGGATAATCATCGGTGTCACTCATATGTTCTCGTCTAGCAGCAGCTCTCTCTGCCTCTGTCTCTCTGTTTCTCGTGTCTCTCTCTGTCTCTCTCTGTCCCTCTCTTTCCCTCTCTCTCCCTCTCTCCTCCTCCCTCTCTCTGTCTCGTCCGATACGACGCATGATCTCTGAATGAAGCAATCTTTGTCCCTTTCCCTTTCCAATGGTTTGATCCGGCCGTCGTTGTTCTCGCCCAATGAACGCTCCCGTCTCGTCTGTTCCGCACCTGCCCGGCATTCTACAGGAGAGATAATTTCACGCTGGTTTCGATGTGCGCGGAGCTCTCTCACCGATCGCTGACAAATCGCACCCCTACCGAACACGACAACTAAACACTTTTTCGGTTGATTTTGCACCGCCCCTCATGACGAGTCCAGCTATCGCCATAGTAATCGATCCTCTTTTCCCCTTTCGCGGTACCCCCCCCGTTTCGGTTCCCCTCTCCGGCGACGTGTTCCTCCCGTATCCGCGTGACGCGCGCCGCAGGCAAACGAGGCTCAAACCCCGTCGTCTTCGGCCCCCCCGCCGCCCGTGACGAACGCCGCGTCGTGGGTCGATCAGCAGACCCCGGCGACGGCGCTGACGGACTTCGCCGCCACACCGGACGAGGCGCCGCACCGCACCCCGCGAAGCCCGCCGCCGCCGCCGCCGCCTCCGGTCTCGGCTCTGTCGTCGTCGTCGTCGTCGTCGTCGAAGTTGACCCCCCCATCGTTGTCGTTGTCATCGCCGAAGCCGACCGCGGAGGCCGCCGCCGTCGCCGCCGGGGCCCCGACGCCCAGCACCGCCGCTCCGGGTGGTGGTGCGGTGTCGGCGTCTGACTCTCCCGACGCCGCCGCTGGGTCGGTCTTGTTAGAGGAAACAAGAGATGCCGACGTTGGCGAGGGCAACGCGGCGGCGGCGGCGGCGATGGGTGCACCTGCCGCTGCTGCTGCTGCAGCGCCGGAGGACTCCACGCCAGCGGCGTCGATCAGCTGCGAAGAGAAAGGTCAAGAGCCGACGGCGTTCCTCTCCCCGCCGGAGGGGCCAGCGGACGCCGCCGCCGATGCGGCCGCTGTCGCAGACGGCCCCGCCGCGTCGCTCCAGCGGACTGAACCGCGGCTGCTGACGCGGCGGGTCAGGGAGCTTGCACGGAAGAGACTGGAACAGCAGTCGCACGCAGCCACGGCGGCGAAGCCGGGTAGTGGTGGCGGTGATGCCCCTGCCGATACCGCTGCTGTTGACGCGATCCACGTTATTGATTCTGCCGCCATATCCACACCGCCTGTCTCGTTGCCGTCCAGTCCGATTCCTCCCGCCCTCGTTACCGCCGACGAGCCAGGAGAGGCGGGACGGGTTTCGCAGTCGCACGATGTGGTGTCGGTGTCGTCGTCTCCCGCGGCGGCGGAGCAAGCGGAGAAGACGAGCGGCGTCCCACCTGCTGCTGCCTTTCCGGGTGGTGCACCTGCTACTGCTGACGCGGTCGCTTCTCCAGCCGGCGAGACGACCGCTGCAGAGGGGGAGAGAAACGCGGGCGGTGGCGAGGAGGAGGAGGACGGAGGAGCAGAGGGTGCCACTACGGTCCAGCAACCCGGCATACCTTTTACAGTCGAGGAAGGGGAAGCCCAAGAGGCGGCGGGAAGCAGCGGAGCGGGGAAGAAGGAAGGGCGAGAGGCAGCAGCCGAGGGTGGTTTGCCGGAAAGCACGGGGACTCCCGGGGCGGAAGTTCAAACGGGCGACAGCCTCTTGCCGTCGCTGCTGTTGTCTGCGCCAACGGCGGCGGTGACGGCGGCGGTAGTGCTTGCGGCCGAGATTGCCGCCGAGAGACTGGAGGACGAGGAGATGCTGGGGCAGCAGACGGAGCCACCCTCGTCCGACCAGACCTTGCCGGCGACCGCACTTGAAACCGCTGGAATTCAGGAGGGTCAGACGGAGGAATCGGTAGCTGTGGCTGCCGCACCTGTCGAAGACCAGTCGCTCGCCGAAGACGGCCGAGAGGCCTCCGGAAGCGAGGGAGCTAGCGCGGTGATTGTGACAGCTACTGGTGGTGATACGGCCGAGCTTACCGCCAAGGAACCGGAAGAGGGGGAGAGGCTGGGGCAGCAGACGGAGCCACCCTCGTCCGACCAGACCTTGCCGGCGACCGCACTTGAAACCGCTGGAATTCAGGAGGGTCAGACGGAGGAATCGGTAGCTGTGGCTGCCGCACCTGTCGAAGACCAGTCGCTCGCCGAAGACGGCCGAGAGGCCTCCGGAAGCGAGGGAGCTAGCGCGGTGATTGTGACAGCTACTGGTGGTGATACGGCCGAGCTTACCGCCAAGGAACCGGAAGAGGGGGAGAGGCTGGGGCAGCAGACGGAGCCACCCTCGTCCGACCAGACCTTGCCGGCGACCGCACTTGAAACCGCTGGAATTCAGGAGGGTCAGACGGAGGAATCGGTAGCTGTGGCTGCCGCACCTGTCGAAGACCAGTCGCTCGCCGAAGACGGCCGAGAGGCCTCCGGAAGCGAGGGAGCTAGCGCGGTGATTGTGACAGCTACTGGTGGTGATACGGCCGAGCTTACCGCCAAGGAACCGGAAGAGGGGGAGAGGCTGGGGCAGCAGACGGAGCCACCCTCGTCCGACCAGACCTTGCCGGCGACCGCACTTGAAACCGCTGGAATTCAGGAGGGTCAGACGGAGGAATCGGTAGCTGTGACTGCCGCACCTGTCGAAGACCAGACGCTCGCCGAAGACGGCCGGGAGGCCTCCGGAAGCGAGGGAGCTAGCGCCGTTGTTGCGGCAGCTACTGGTGGTGATACGGCCGAGCTTACCGCCGAGGAACCGGAGGACGAGGAGAGGCTAGGGCAGCAGACGGAGCCACCCTCATCCGACCAGACCTTCCCGGCGACCGCACTTCCTGCGACTGAAACCGCTGGAAGTCAGGAGGGTCAGACGGAGGAATCGGTAGCTGTGACTGCCGCACCTGTCGAAGACCAGACGCTCGCCGAAGACGGCCGGGAGGCCTCCGGAAGCGAGGGAGCTAGCGCCGTTGTTGCGGCAGCTACTGGTGGTGATACGGCCGAGCTTACCGCCGAGGAACCGGAGGACGAGGAGAGGCTGAGGCAGCAGACGGAGCCACCCTCATCCGACCAGACCTTACCAGCGACCGCGATTCCTGCGACTGAAACCGCTGGAAGTCAGGAGGGTCAGACGGAGGAATCGGTAGCTGTGACTGCCGCACCTGTCGAAGACCAGACGCTCGCCGAAAACGGCCGGGAGGCCTCCGGAAGCGAGGGAGCTAGCGCCGTTGTTGCGGCAGCTACTGGTGGTGATACGGCCGAGCTTACCGCCGAGGAACCGGAAGAGGGAGAGAGGCTGGGGCAGCAGACGGAGCCACCTTCATCCGACCAGACCTTGCCAGCGACCGCACTTCCTGCGACTGAAACCGCTGGAAGTCAGGAGGGTCAGGCGGAGGAATCGGTAGCTGTGGCTGCCGCACCTGTCGAAGACCAGACGCTCGCCGAAGACGGCCGGGAGGCCTCTGGAAGCGAGGGAGCTAGCGCGGTGATTGTGACAGCTACTGGTGGTGATACGGCCGAGCTTACCGCCGAGGAACCGGAAGAGGGAGAGAGGCTGGGGCAGCAGACGGAGCCACCCTCATCCGACCAGACCTTACCGGCGACCGCACTTCCTGCGACTGAAACCGCTGGAAGTCAGGAGGGTCAGACGGAGGAATCGGTAGCTGTGACTGCCGCACCTGTCGAAGACCAGACGCTCGCCGAAGACGAAGGGGGGGGCTCCGGAAGCGAGGGAGCTAGCGCCGTTGTTGCGGCAGCCACTGGCGGTGGTACCTCACCTGCAGAAGACTACACCGTCGCCCTTACGGCGTTAGACGCGCAAGACCCCTCGGACTCCGGAAGCGAGGAAGATAGCGCCGAGGTTTCGGCCGCTACCGATAGCGCGGCACCTGTAGATGACCGCACCCCGGCCCCGCCCGCTGAAGACGCAGCTGCCGAGATTCAGAAGGGGCAACCGGCCGAGCGCGCCGCAGCCGAAGACTCCGTCGCCGATGCTCAGACGTTGTCCATCCTGGCCGTCGCGGCCGCTGCTGCTGACGCGGCGGTGGAGCAAGAAGGCGGGGAGGAGAGAGATCGTGGGCACGCGTCCGCGGTGTCTGTGCTGACTCTGTCGTCCGCTACCGAAGACTACACGGAGGAGACCACTCCGATGCCTGGACTTGCCCCCGCGGCATATTATATTACCGCCGCTGCTGCTGCTGCTGCTGCTGCTGCTGCTGCTGCTTCTACCGCCACTAGTGCTGAAGCTGTGCCCGCGAAGGGCGAGAGTCGAGAGGCGAACGTGTTTTGCGCGGATGGTGCGGCTGCTGCGCCTGGCGAGCTTGCCGGCCACACGGTGGACGCTCATCCTCCTACTAGCTTGCCCACACCCACCACGACAACCAAAGGCCGAGCTTCCTTGTTGAACAGGTGCGTACACTGTTCTTCTTGGGTGTATATCGTTTTGGACATGCGGTCATTTTTTGCTTGGCTGTGTTGTGTGCCCCGCCGTTGAAACACGTTTTTTGCCTTGCCTTCGGGCGAACTAGAAGAGCCTTGTTTATTTTTTGGTACAGGTGTAGCGGTAGGTGATTATTTCCCTACCCCTGTCCGAACACGAATGGGTCGTGACGCACACATGGAACACAACGGTGGTCGCCACCCCCCCCCCCCCCCCCCCCCCCCCCCCCCCCCCCCCCCCCCCCCCCCCCCC